ATCAAGTGGAATTCCCATTGGTACCAACTGCACTCTATTTTTGTAATCATATGAAGCAGAATTTGTGCAAAGACATGCGTGAAAAGAAGCAAAAACATATTGTGGCCTTCAACTCGAAATTTAGATATATCGACGACGTACTAACAATGGTAATTTCCATTCCTATGTCGATACGATATATCCTGGTGAGTTTGAGATAAAAGATACCACAGAGTCTGACACATCTGTTTCATACTTAGATATTTTACTTGAAAAAGACTGAGTTTATATATCTCAGTTGATTCAGTATGCAAGAACATGCTTTACGAATGAACACTTTCTGAAACAATATAAATTATTGACAAACAAGTTGATGAAACAAGAGTATCACAAACGCGTTTAAAGTCATTATTTTGTAAGTCCTATTGTCGATACAATGACCTTGTCAGCAAATACAATTTAGCATTGTTTCAAATGCTGACTGACGTTTTTCGTACTTATTGTTAGTCAATTATTCATACACTGAAATGGCGACGAATTTTTCTGTTATTTCCTGATCATGACAAGGAGCACACGGCGGGTGTGACCGTTCGGCAGCGGATGTTTACTCCTCCATGTCAGACCCGACCTCTGATGTTTCGGAGATCCGTGTGTGCTCTGCTCCTATTTCGTACTGTTTTATGGACTTTGCTATTGAATACTGTTCGTTATCTACATATCCTTCATTTTGAAAGCATTTACAGTATCATGGTTTCTAGTCTTTGTAGGCAAAGCCTTCCATACTGATATGGATATTGTAGATGGAAGGAATGAATATTGGTATACGTTTGTTTTACATTGGGGAATAGAAATATTAATGCAGTTACTTAAATCGCAATTGGTAGTTTGTGAGACATCTAGAAATAATAGATTTAATAAAAGCAACGGAAGCCCATAGAGAAAGTATGATAACACCTGAGAGAGGTTATTACGTCATGCCAAAACTCTCTAATAAGTGAAACATTCTTTATGCACTTCCTTTGCGTTTACCTAAGGAAATTTCAACGTGCAGACTAGAATGCCTTTTAAAGGCCGAGATTTTTAACCGTTTTCTCAGGTAAGGGGAGGGACTAAATTTTACATGCTTGGCACCCCGAGGCATTGACGGTCGTGCAGACCTCGGAAAACACTAATCCCTATACACAAACAGTATACACAGGAAGTCCATGAGTATTACCTGTACAGCCTTTTGGCCTACTTTTCATCATAAAATTAGTAGATCTCGACACAGTAAATAAAAAAGTGTCATTAGTAATAAATATTTGCAAAATTCCATAATTTTTAGACTTGCATCTAATATATCAAACAAGCAGAAATTCCATCGGCCGACTTTTGTAAAAGTGAATCTATGATATCGTATATCTTACATTGTACGTCACAGCAGCAATGAGTTGAGTTCATTATGAAAAAAAAATAATGAAATACGGGTACAATTTCAAATGTAAAATATTCACCCTTGCCTTTCCCTTTCTATATTTTAAGAAATGTTTATAATTATCGTCAATATAGTAGCATAGAACTTCGATGAGTTCACGGTCAGTAGTAACAGCTACTTCCCGTTTGTATGAAAAGTCGCGTGGGCCTATTTTAGCAAAGTGTCCTATTCATGTATTGTGAAAAATTAGTGATAACGACTGGTTTCAAGAAGTTAAAATTATATACAAGTGTGTGTGAATTTGAAGTTAATCTAAATTATAGTAGAATAACTAAAAACGAAATATTAAGTTATTGCTAACTTACATGTATGTATTTCTTTCGAAACTATTTCTAACACCTGTGACCTTGAAGGGAGGTTACAACCCACGTAGCAAGAAATGTTCGGTTATAAAAATGAAAAGAAAAGAGAGAAAATCTTAGTACTTGTCCAGGCTAAGTTGTTTCTAATAAGATATTTGTTTTCATCTTTACTATTCGTTACCAGCTTATATTTTTTTTCCCCCTTTATTTTCATCGTAATTTTTTCGCCGCGTCTCGAAACAAGAATATTTTACGAGTGAAGACAAGACTTCAATCACCTATGCACTTTTCATTAATGAAAAAAATTATACACAGACTTGATTTTTTTACTAAACACTATGAGAAAATTTTCATTTTTCAATGACACGTTTGTAATTCAGATAATTATAATCAATTATAATCAAGCTAAAATTGCTTGCTAATTGTGCTGGTAATCTAGCGGTAAACATCAGAGGACCGAAAGTTAATTCGATAGCGGCCACGCGTGTCAAACAAGGTGAAAGAAATATACACAGGGACTATAGTAGCTAAATGTCAATCAATTTTAATTACCCAATGATGGACCTTAATTCATTTGATTGACAGGGAAATGCAGACCAGGTAAATCTGAAGGCGGTGCTTATTATCTCGGGCTTTAAGGAGAAATTGTGGGATTCTTACGAGATGCAGAGTCAATCCGATAGCATGAGCTAAGACAGGACTATATGTAGAGACGGTGTGAATCGACACTTTAGGTTGAAATAAAATAAATACATGTTTTTAAACTCATAAATACCAGTGGGGGTACAACGTAAACAAACCGGAGTGACATACCTTTCTCTCTTATAATGTATAGTGGGTTTTTTTTTGTGTTGCGATTATTTTGGGGTTTTGATGATTTTTTTCTATCGACTTATGATGAATAAGTGAAATAAATACGAGGGCTGTTCAATAAATAATGTCCTGAACTGTATGACATACAATACAGATATGACATTAAACTTGACTTTCTCTCATTATTGAATCTTTACTGAATTTAAAACAGTTTATGTGACCACTTTTCATCACATAGTTTCATCGTGAGAAGATGGAAAACAAGGGCTATTCGAGACACTGCATTATAAATGAATGGTAAAGAATCAGTATACTAGAGTGAAAATAAAGGCTACATTAAAGCTGCTGTAAAATTTGTTAAAAATTCCAAAAAAATATTCACTGAAATATGTGTCATTTACAGCAACCAATGCCTGTTTTATAGACAAATGAGCAGGTGGATTTCAATGATAAAAATTATATAATGGGCATCAAAAATGGGTACCCTCCTTGCCAACAAAAATTATAACAACTTATGTACTGTTTGCCATATTTCAACAAATAATATTTGATGATGTATGATTGCCTTTAAGACACAAAGCAAATTTGATAGACATCATATCGGGAGTAATTTACACTGTTTTTAAGAAACGTTTGACAGTAAAAAAGCTTAGTACTCAAAGGTCACCCTATATTTTGAAAAATGAGTGAAGACGACAGTGTGTACGAAAGTCTTAACAATTATTTTAAAATATCAGTAATTGTAGTTATTCACGTTTTTTTTATATTCAAACAGATATTAGAACATGAATCTATTGCTTAAAATCATCAAAACAAAATTTGCCATAAGATGTACTTGATAAAAACGGCAAAGGTCTGACAAAAGCAAAGGCATGCAAGAGCACAAAGACAGATTTATATACAATTTTCTTAAATATTAGTGGTATTGTTGTTCAAATTCGTATTCGGGGAGACATTGTGATATCTGGAGGAGTCTAGAAAACAATTTTTTTTGCAAAAAAATCGAAAGGTTTATTAGAGGAAGGACCCAGAATCAGGAATCCACTACATTGAATTTCTTCATGACAGCGTCCAAACCCGCATGCCCTGAAGAGTAAAGGGGTTTTCGGGATAAACAGAAAGTTAATGTTTTTTCACATTAACAATATTTGCCAGATCTTTGACCTTTTGACTTGTTTCTATTTCCAAATTTGAAAAAAAAACACCTTTCAGAAGGAAAAAACAAGTCCAGGAAATCATTGGATCTGCCATTTTCCTGTATACTAAGGGTCATACCCAAAAATGAGTTCTAAAAATAATCAGAAATTGGATAAAAAATGTTACGGACATGTGTTTAAATTAAAATAGATTAATAAGTAAAATCATGAAGACTAAATCATTGAAAAGCGTCGTTTGCTTCTTTCTGAGCACCGAGGACATTATTTATTGAACAGCCCTCGTATAATTTGTGAAAAAAATGTCCAACAAGCCCCGGGGTTGAATATTTAGGAGGGGAGTCCTGTCCACAAGTACCTGTGGGCTACCTTAGAAAAAAAACATTACTGCAACCCTTTATCTGATCTAATATTGAGGTTATTCAGTTTATTTAGTTTAATTTTTTATCACTCCTCGGATTAAAAACATGCTCTTGTGTATCGAGTCAACTAAGAGATATTAACACCGTATGCAGATGATGAAGGTATTTTGCTGCATAAGTAAGGGGGGTTGACGACAGAAAAATTTAAAACCATCATATTTATCATAAAGCTTGATTGTTAGATTACCATTAACGTCTTTTCCAAGTAAAATATCCAAGTATGAAGCAGATGTATCGGACATGCAAACTTTTGTCGAATACATAAGAGAAATAGATGTTTTTTAAAATTTTAATTAAGTTTATTTTTTAACTATTACTAGGAATGAGAGGAGTTACGAAATCCACTAAATAATTTACGTAACCTGCTAGGAAGAAGACGTCCCTTTACCCTTTCTTCGTAAGTGTCACTTAAGAAAGTACTGGAGAAAAAAACGTGTTAATTACAGACAAAAGAACAGATTCGTGTCCAAGGTTCCTCTGTCGTCATCTGTACAATGCTTATTAGAATGATTGCTTCATGACTGGACTGGAAGCCATTAGACTTTGTTCTTCGAATTATATGTATCAATATCAAATTTCGTTAATTATGAGTTCATCATATCCTTCTTCATGGAGTTTGATACAAATATAAAAGCTGAATTCGGAAATCAGAGTCTATTATCCGCATTTGTTTTAGATTTTTAAAACTGTTTTGTCATCGTATTTTCCTGTCAAGAAATTAAGAAGAAATCCATTATGCGTTTAAAAACCATTATCTTTTGTATATATATATATATATATATATATATATATATATATATATATATATATATATATATATATATATATAAAAGATAAAACCAGAAAAACAGAAACATTATTCCCTTTCTGTGTGCATCGTATGTTTGTTCAAGATGGTGTGATAGAGGTAAGTATAATATTCTGCTATTTATATCTTTATTTAACGAGTGAGTATTGTCAAATTATTTTTTATAAATATTATGATGTGTTACATGTATAAACACTGAGTATCATGAATATATTTATTGCCGTCGTAAAAATTTGTGAAATTTTAGATTTACACTAAAGAAACTAAAAAAAGCGTAATTTTTTTTTGTTGCCAAAATTTTTTTTAAAAAATCATTATAAAAATATTAAAAATAATTAGAGAAAATTGATTATATTTTCGTGAAAATGATAGACATAAAGCTGAGAAAACGAAAAAAAGAAATGGAGGAAAAAATTATTATTAGCCAGTACTTACTGTTGTTTCCACATTTTTTTTTTCATATATGTACTAATTTATTTTATTTACCAATTAATTAATTTAACAATAATTTTATCTACCAATCCCTCGACAGAAAAGCCTGTTTTGAATAGCATGCAGCAAAAATTCATTCAAAATAAAAGAATGAAGGAACAAAAAATATACATATTAAGGACAGATGATACAAACAAATTTATGTAAAAAAAAAAAGAAAAAAGAAATGAAGATTACAAACTCGGTCATATTTAAATGAGAAAAATGAATATGTTTTACCGCGTATTTTTTTTAATCTTTTATTCAAAATTTCTCAAAAAATGGGATTTGAAGAGTTTTATAATATTGGTATAGATTTCAGAAGCGCAGTCTTTTGAACATAACAGAAGGTTTGCAATTTCTCAATGTTCTAGAAATTTGTTGTTTACATCATTTGCAATGAAATTAGGCCAAAAAATATATCCCAATCTAGGCATCCTTATTTGTTTGTATCACCTGTCCTTAAATGGTTAATTCGTACGAAGAGAGGAATTAAGGCAATACGAGGGACGTTCAATAAATAATGTCATCGGGGCTCGGAAAGAAATAAAAAACGCTTTTCTATGATTTCGTCTTAATAATTTAACTAAAATATTCTCTTTTAATTAAATGCATGTCCGTAACATTTTTACTCAATTTCTAATTGTTTTAGAACACATTTTTCAGTATGATCTTTCGTATACTGGAATATGGCAGATCCTATGACTTGCTGTTCTTGTTTTGTTTTTTTTTCTGAAAGGTGTTTTCCTTAGTTTGGGAAATGAAACAAGTCAAAGATTGAAAGATCTGACGAATATTTTTGATGAGACAAAACATTAACTTTCTGTTTACCCCAAAACTCCTTTACTCTTCATGGCCTGTGGGTTTGGACATTGTCATGAAGAAATATTTTGCTTACTAGACTCCTCCAGAAATTGAACTGCCTCCCCAAATATGAATTTGAACAACAAGACCGCTAATATTTAAGAAAATAGCGTATAAAACTGTTTTTGTGTTGTTGCAAATCTTTGTTCTTCTTAGGCCTTTGCAGTTTTGACAAGTGCATTTTATTGTAAATTTGTTTTGAGGGTTTAAAGTAAAATGGATTCAAGTTTCATGATCTGTTTGAATTTCAGACAAACGTGGATAAGTATTTTTGATTTTTTTCAAAATAATTGTTTAGATATTCCTACACGCTGTCGTTTTCACTCATTTTTAAAAACATAGGGTGACCTTTGAGTATTAAACTTTTATATTATCAAATGTTTTTTTTAAAACTGTGTGAACTACCCCCAAAATGATGTCTATCAATTTTGCTATGTGTCTTAACTCTTTGCCCCTTGCGCGGTCTGTGACGTAATAGTAGCATTACATTTGTTAACTTTTGATGACGTTATCCTTTTCCTCGCAGCGCACTTGCGATTACGTGCTGAAAAGACGTGGTTTTGAGGATGCATTTACACGGTGTATAATCAGCAACTGTTGCCGTATATATTGCCCTAATAATTATACAATCATCTGTAAAATGAATTCAAGTATTTTGATGATTTAATCCTGTTTATTTTGTTTAAATAATTCTTTTATGTGGACTTTTACAGACTCGATATATTATCATAGTCTACAGATAATTTATTATGTATTTTAAATCTAAATCGAAAACTTCGTTTAAAATAATTGTTTGAGTTCCATTCAGGGTGTCTTTTTTATGCTCTTGTTAAAATTACAGACAGCGACACATCCCAAAACCCTTTTTTTATTTCTTCAGTCACATGCATTACCATTTTATCGAAACTTGCAGAACTTTTCAATTATAAATAAAATAGAAATGAGGTCTAATAGAAAAGGATTATCACCTGAGAAAAATTTTATAACACGTTTTTAATATATATTTTTAGGACAAAAAGGATTTGGAGCTTTAAGCACATTTAACTTAATTTATTTGTTCTCGAGTTGTTTTTTTTTAAATTAATAAATATTGTTGAAATATTAGAATATCGCTTAATTTCTATTGAACGATGCAATAGCCCATTGTAGATGGAAAACTTTTTAGTTTTTAAAATACATGTAATAAAATTTAACTGATCACATCTTGTTATTAATATTTTGGCTGATATACGGATGAAATACTGCCATGGGACTCGGCATTAAAATAATCAGTCTTAAATTAGCCATACATATCTAAACCTTGTTAGCCAAGGGTTTCCGATCCAAAATCTACTCTAGTGCATGGTTGAAATGTGAAGCGTATCGGAACCCCTTGGCTATAGCGAAGATTGCAGAATCTTTACACCTACAGGTACATGTGGGCTACTAAAAAAATCAGCACGTTTAACAATAAAGAAAAACTTGGGAGTGATGGGGCTGTAGGCGAATTTGAAATAAATAAATAAAAAAGAAAAGAAAAACATCGAAAAGAAGTTTTTCTTTGTAATGGAATTTTTACACATTTTTAAAAAACAATAGAATAGTTTACAAACGAGTCCAAGAACTCCTCGGACGGAGCAATCAGTACTCGGAATTTTCCCGATGTTGTCCTATAAGTATTCCGATTATTTGTGAAGCAAATATGACGGTACTATTAAAAATGTTTGAATGAAAATGCAGTAATTGTAGCTGTAATTATAGAGAAATATAGAAAGCATTTTCTCAATTTTCCAAAGGTTGCCATCAGATTTCGTTGACACGATGAACTTTATGAACATGCAGGGTCGATGTACACGAAAACCTGTCCACTTTATTTAAGAAAATGACGTATTTATATCAAATTAGTCAAACTTGCAGAAAAAAGTCTAATTAATAACATGATAAACAATGAAATATATCAATTACTCAGGATCTATCAGGAGTAAATGCGTAGTGGATATACAAATTTTTCACTATATACATTTGCGATAGCCCATATTACTTTAGTATTAAGAAATACAAGTTAACGACAGAAAAAAATTAATTGATTGTGTTTGTAAAAGATATACAATTCTGACCGAAATAAATGTTCATATAGATCAGACAGGAGAATAAACAGATTATCTCAATGTTTTGACTGCATTCTTTTTTCCGATTATTTATATTCTACTTTTAATTTCCGACGTAACATAGTTTACTGACAATTTATAATTTTATTTTCCGATATTTATTGAAGAGTAAAATTCAGGAAATAAAACTGTGACCGAAGACTTTCTTAATTGAAAATTGAAATTATTATCTTTGAACAATACCAACAAATCATTGACATCAAAAGCTTTATTTTCAAAAACATGGATGTTAAATTGAGATCATTTTCATGTTTGTCGGACATCACTGACATGATATAGTTCAAGTGTAGCTGATTTTCTTTTTCATTGATCGATTTTTCATAAACTTGGTAGACAAGATCCATACCCCCCCCCACCAAAAAAAAAAAAATGTACGAAATGCTAAGCATTCCTGTGGTAAAATGAAATGCTAAATATATTTTATAATCAGTCCCTTTTTTTTAACAAGCTAGCTGTTGATCGAAGAAAAAAAAATGCCGGAAATACTAAATGTAATAATATAATTCCGGAGATGAAATGCGGAGAATAATTTAGATCGCTGTTGGTCAAAGATGTATAACCCCCCCACCCCCCCACCCCCCCGAAAGAATGAAGTTTTAAGTCCAAATGCATTGCCCCTTTCAATTCAATGACTATTTCCTATAGTAAAGGTAATGTTGGGGAAAAATAGCTGTGATTTTGTTCTTCTTTAAAAAGTGGGGGGGGGGGGGGGGGCACAGACATACTCTTGCCCCCCCAGATCTGAAAGTGGGGGGGGGGGGGCTAGTGCCCCCGCTGCCCCCCCTGTGACTACGCCTATGTAATGTATCTGCATGGTACATGTATTTACCAGCTGCACTACCCTTTGAAAACAATCACGAGTTAACAGTCCATACACAAGTGCATGGATGTTAGAAGTATTTTTTGTGTATATTAACATAAACATATTAATGGTTGAAAAATCCAATCAGACCACATCGCCGTCCTCTTCTTGAGAGTTTACTTCGCCAATTAAAATTTTTCAAAACTTTTTTTTTTTTAAAGTATGCAGTGTTGACATACATGAACCTACAGAGTATATATGTTTTCTTATACATGTGAAATCGACTGATAAGTGAATATTTTCAAATAATATACTGACGATATGAACGTACTCGAGGCGGATATATTCCTATAAGGAAATATTCATATAAAGGACTATATGCCTACTGAGCAAATCCAATTTGAACGTTCATATCCTGTTTTACCGTGCGTCTGTCCGCACCAAATATACATGTAACATTTTTTTTATCGCATTTTTCTAAGCAACTACTCATCGCAGATTCTATAAATTTTAGCTGAATCTTTGTTGAGACGTGTCATATAGTGGGATTTTTTTGTATATGAATATGATAACAACTTCATATTTTTTCCGTGCATCTGCCAATAACTAAACTTGTTTAAATTCACATCAGAGTGGGGCACTATTGGTTAGCATTGGCTCACAGACTTTGTTCTGCCTTTTTTTAAAAAGATATCAAACAAGTATTCAGTATACTTTAAAATTTTCCCGAATATCTTGTTTTATGTATACATGTATACGTATATGTTAAGAAATCAAGACACACGATCGAGAAAGTGTGACAATTTTTTTTTTTTTACAATATCGGAAACGTTAACTTAATAATGAAAACAACCTCTTTTTCAACATGATATTGCCGTTCCTTTATTCTGTTCCTTTTTATTTGTGTGTGTGTATTTTTTTTTATAGCTGTGTAACATGTGTAAGGTGGGAAAATAATCAGTTTTTACGAATCTGAATTCAAATAGGACAACAAATAAGACAACATGAGACTACATGTAACATAAGATTACATGTAAACTGGAACAAAGCTATATTCTATGAACAAACTTCTTTTCTCTACGGTTGTATGACAGAGAATGTATAAACCTAAAAATTCTTTTGTAATTTTACACGTTCCTTCTGTCGATTTCTGCACAGGTTTTTATTAAACACTTACATAAAAAAATCATTCGTTAAATTCGATAAATTCTGAATCAATAGTCCCTTCTCACACAAGCTAGATTGAGTGACTTCCACATCACCGAAACAAGTCGGGATCAAGTGGTGAGCTGATTTAGCGTCAAAAGAAAGACCTTAATTTGTCTCGCATTCCAAGTTTCATCAAATAAATCGAACGATTCGGACATATTAAATTAAGGAAAAATATTATTATTTGCGAAAGATATTAGAATGGAATTACAAAATTTATAATCTAATCAATTATTATCATATCATCAAAACTATAAGAGCAGAAAACGCCAAAAACGAAAATTGCGTTAAAGTGCGTGATTGCGGGGCAAAGGTATATGCGTTAAAGTGCGTGATTGCGGGGCAACGGTATATGCGTTAAAATGCGTGATTGCGGGGATGGGGGTTAAAGTCAATAAAACAAAATCAGTGATAGTTTGTTAAATTTTCGCTGATATACATTGGTTGTTGCATGTCCTTGTTGACAAGGACGGTACCCATTTTTGATGCCCTTTATATAATTTTTGTTAATTGAAATCCATCTATTCATGTGTGTATTAAACAGACATTAGATGCTGTAAATTTCACATATTTCAGTTAATATATTTTTGGGAAATTAACAAGTTTTACAGCAGCTTTAATGACGCGTTCAATTTATCTCTAGTTTACTGATTCTTGACCATTCATTTTTAATGCAATGTCTCGAATAGCTCTTGTTTTCCAGCTTCCCACAATGAAATTATGCGATGAAAAGTGGTCACATAAACTGTTATCACTTCATTAAAGATTCAATAATGAGAGAAAGTCAAGCTTAATGTCATATGATTTCTATGTTGTGTGTCATCGAGCTAATGACATTATTTATTGAACGTCCCTCGTACACTGCTCTGTCATATAATTTAGGGATTGCCCATTCCTTCAAGGCACGCGATTCAAATTTTTGAATGCTTGGGTTTTCCTCGTTCTTTGCCCTGTTCACGTTAGCTTCAGAACTGTAGCTCTCCTAAAAGACATATATATTTATTGTTTGGAGGTCCTCGATTGCTCCGCTTCTTTATTGTATTGTTGGATTGACTTTTGCGCTTGAATAATGTTCGTTATCTTCGTATCTTTCATAAAGTAAAAATATAAGGTATTTATTTTATTTTCCATGTCTAAGAATTGAGTAATGTTTACAAAAATTTCATGAATGATTCCTATAAGTTATCTTTTTATTTTAATATGCGCTTTATTCTTTCATATGTTGAATTCGGTAGTAATTCATAATCATAACAACAAACTAGAGCAAAGCTCGTTGCAAAGCAACGAGTAGGTCTTCCGTACTGTTTGACCGGAAGTAGCTTTCATTTTTAACAAAAATGAGAAATAACGCCCAAAAATGCTTTGAATCCTATAAAGCTAAGTTAATTAATGCAAATATCAGCCGTTTTTTGCTACTTCCGGTTTGACCGGAAGTGACGACGACGCACGAAAAATTAATTTTTAAGTTCCCAGAGACATATGTTACCCAAAAACTTGTCCAAATCGGCAAAAATACGCGTTTTCCGACTACTTCCGGTTTGGCCGGAAGTGACGATGCTGGACGTATTTTGACGACTTCATTAGATTAATCTTGACATTTTCAACAACTTTGCTTCTTTGATGTATAACAAATTCTCAATACTTTTTGAGATATCTGGAAAAAACTTTTGGCCCCTCTAGATCCCTTAATTTAGGGGTCAGCCCTTTTTCCAACATATCATTTGAAAGATCTTCTAATTCTGCACAAATGATGTTCTATATATTTTAACAAAATATTTTTAGTTAAGAAGATAAAAAGCAAAATATGAGTAATTTTTGGTTCTTTTAAGCGTTCTAATTTTTGACCCCTATTTAGCGCCATTTTGAACAGAAAAATCGAAAAACAAAAAACCAATGTGCACAACTTCAATCCTTCTTTTATCTAAAATCAGTAGAATTTCTGCTCCAGCTGTAGCCGTCTCTGAGCCTTTGTCTGGAAACGAAAGCCTATAAATTTTCGATTAACTCAAAACCGGAAGTGATTTTTCGAAATTTTAGTCAGCAATCTGATAGAGTTTATAAACGTCTATAACCTCTAAAAATTTGAGCGAAATCCGTTGAGAAATGGGTGAGATAAGAGGCCTCAAAGTTGCGGTCTAGGAAGCAGAAGAAAAAAAGAATAACTAGAGCAAAGCTCGTTGCAAAGCAACGAGTAGGTCTTCCGTCATGTTTGACCGGAGGTGGCTGTCATTTTTTAACAGAAATGAGAAATAAAGTCCAAAAATGGTTTGATTCCTCTAAATCCATGTTAATTATTGCAAAAATAAGCCATTTTCTGTTACTTCCGGTTTGACCGGAAGTGACGACGACGGACGGAAAATTAATTATAATGCTCCCAGAGACATATGTTACCAGAAAACTTGTCAAGAACGGCAAAAATACGCGTTTTCCGACTACTTCTGGTTTGACCGGAAGTGACGACGCCGGACGTATTTTGACGACTTCATCAGATTAAGCTTGACATTTTTAACAATTTTTCTTCTTTGACGTATCACAAATTCTCAATACTTTTTGAGATATTAAGGAAAAACTTTCGGCCCCTCCACGCCCCTGATTTAAGGGGCCAGCCCTTTTTTCGAGAAATCATTTGAAAGATCTTGAAATTCTGCACCTTTTTTGTTCTACATGCTTTAACAAAATATTTCTAGGTAAAAAGTTATCGTTGAAAAAGTGCTTAAAATTTTGAAATTCTTGATAGGACTATTTTCGGGCCATAGCGAGCGTCGGCGCTTCGTACTTCCGGTAGTTGTGATATACTTAGTGCACATCTCCAAAAGTTGCTCTAGCATCACTGAAAATTTCAAGCTTCTGTGTTAAGTGCTTTTTGAGAAAACTGCCGGACAAAGTGACCCTCTAAAAATCACTATATCGCAGAAACCTCCGAACCGGAAGTGACGTCATCAAAATAAAAAAATGTGTATCTAGATTTCCAGATGTTCTATCAGACCTGAAAGTTTCATGAAAATCGATCGAGCCGTTCTCGAGAAATCGCGCGTACAAAATCGGTAAGAAAAAAAAACAATAATAATAAAACTAGACGAGCTTATTGCAAAGCAACAAATAAGTCTTCTGTCTAATTCTGAAGACGATGATATCGAGATTGATAGACATTTACGGTTATGTGTGCAAAAAACGAGCCATTTACAAATACTTCCGGCCTGACCGGAAGTGACGGTATTTTTACGACTTTAAATGATCTCTGCCTCTGCTATTTATTATTTTGAACAACTTTCCTTCTATGATGCTTAACAAATTGTCAACACTTTTTGAGATATCAGATAAAACGTTTTGGCCCCTCTGGATCCTTTAATTTAGGGGCCAGCCCTTTTTCATAGATATCATTTGAAAGATCATGCAATTCTACACTTCTTTTGTTCTATATGTTTTATCAAAATATTTCTAGGTAAAAAGTTATCGTAGAAAAGGTGTTAGAAATTTTGAAATTCATGATAGGACTATTTTCGAGCCATAGCGAGCGCCGGCGCTTCGTACTTTCGGTAGTTGTGATATATAAAGGGCACTTCACCAAAGGTTGCTCTAGCATCACTGAAAATTTCATGCTTCTGTGTTAAGTGCTTTTTGAGAAAACTGCCGGACAAAGTGACCCTCTAAAAATCACTAAATCGCAGAAAACTCCGAACCGGAAGTGACGTCATCAAAATAAAAAATTATATGTCTAGACTTTTTGATGTTCCGTCAGACCTGAAAGTTTCATGAAAATCGATCGAGCCGTTCTCGAGAAATCGCGCGTACAAAATCGGTAAGAAAAAAAACAATAATAATAAAAATAGTGGAAAAGAAACCTAAGAAAAACAATAAGGTCTTCCGCTGAAGACGGAAGACCTTAAATAGTGGAAAAGAAACCTAAGAAAAACAATAAGGTCTTCCGCTGAAGACGGAAGACCTTAATAATCTTTACCAACAGAATCAGTAGAAGGTCTTCCGTTGGAAACGGAAGACCTTAATAAGAAAACAAAAACAAAAAGAAAAAACTATAAATAAAGAAATAAAATAGAAAGAAAGAAAGAAAGAAAAGAAGGAAAGAAAAATTAAAACACTCAAATGAAAAGAAATATATAGATATATTTTACTCTATTCTAATTATGTGCTTTATTTCTTTTCTTTCTTTCATGCATTGAAATTCGGTTAAAATTCATAATCATGACACAAGATAGCAAAAAAAAAAAACACACACATAAAAAAAAACAGAAAAGAATAAAGAAAGTACTGTAAGAAAGAAAAGGGGAAAGGAAAAAAAAAACATTCAATTTATTTATTTTGTTTTTAAGAAATTGCTTTTCAACTTCATTTTAATTAAAAATTCTACATTCTATACATAGTTCATATTTCTTTCAGCAAAATTAGAGAAAATTACGAAGAGCGAAACTGCAGTGGAACCAGATGACGTCAAGTTAATGGCGCACTGTGTAAGTACAAACAAATCTTAAAATATACTGTAGAATCACAAATTTTCGTTAGGATAAAATATCGTTGATGTGTCATCAAAAATAGTTTTGTTTTTTTATTTTGGTAATTAATTTCGTTGTTTTGAAAGTAACCCTACTCAATGTATAGTCAAATAAAATTTCGTGTGGGATTTTTTTTTCGTCCATAATTGTTAACAACGAAATAAACGAAATTTAATCCCCCACGAATATTTGTGCTTTTACAGTATATGAAATGATTTTTTTTGTGCAACTAAAACATTGAAAAATGAAGCCTGAATAAATTGAAATTTACCAGACGTAAATGATTTCATTTTCAAATAATTTAATTCTGGTTGTAACGCTTTATTTGACTTGATAAAAATTTTTCTTTATATCGTATAAAATGGGTTGCCTACGTCACAATGACTTGCGTCAAAAACGTATCAATCCGCCTGACGTTACATTCAAATTTTGAGCAAATTGAAGTCATTTTGTTAGAACAATCATCTTTTATTATTACATCAAATGAATGAAAATTAAATTATAAGCAAGGAATTTAATAGCTACCCATTTTATACGATATAAATGGGTTAGAACAGTTAACGCTTTTTTATAAACCGCTTCGCGGTTTATAAAGCGTAAACTGCCCCAACCCAGTTTATACCGTATAGAATGGGTAGCTATTAAATTTATTCCTTAAGTAGAAAAAAGTTAGCTATGTTAGATTTGTTTTGACTAATTTGTAGTGTTATGAAAAACATGAAAAGGGTGAAGATAATGAAAAGTAATTCATCTTTAAAAATTTCTTAACAAGACAAATCTGTTAAAATGGGAAAAAACGGGCCCGTTGAGGCATGATCGGGTTCATGGGACAAATAAGTATAATTTGTGGACTGGTCACATCCGCAGTGAAGCATTAATGATCACGTGGAACGGTACATTATGTAGTGAAATTCACTGTTAAAAACGTCCGAAAAATTGATATGCAAAAAACAACCTACTACAATGTTGTATTTGCTAACAATTATGTGCAAGCTCCTATTAACGAATATTTACGAAATGCTGACCTTACACGAAATTGTTGAATTCCCTGTAACTTATCTGTTAGTAGCCTGACTGGGTTAAAGGTAATCAGAATTGATCACAGACCAGCACATAAACTTGACAAATGGGTAGCATATTGAAAAAAAGTTTAAGATAAAAATAATTAAAGAGACTACATAAACAAGGTGTGTTGGTTCCAGCGAACAAGACTGATTACAAAATCGTCTTTGTTTTGTATGGTTCATTATTAACTATATTTTAAGAGAACTTAGTTTTAAAGGGGCTGGGTGGTTGTGGCCATTTTTAGACTATTTTGATGTACTTTAGTAGAAGAGCTCCATATAAAGATGTAATAAAATGATCAAATTTTAAAACTAAAATTTATGAAATTTTTCTTTGTCAACTAATAGTTTACAACTTAAGATATCAAATCTAAAAAATTAAGTTACATCTGGTGGTTAATAATTCAACATTTATTTCAGCTTTTATTCTGTTTTGTAGATTTTACGTTTGTATACGTTATACTTCAAGACAAACTTAGAAACTGGGAAATATTTTTGATGAAGAAAAAGAAAATTTACCTGTTTGAGTGATTTGTTTTTGCCTGGCTTGATGTGCGTCAAGACAAACTTAGAAACTAGGAAATATTTTGATGGAGAAAAAGAAACTTTTCCTATTTGAGTGATTTGTTTTTGCCTTGCTTGATGTGCTTCACAACAAACTTAGAAACTAGGAAATATTTTGATGAAGAAAAAGAAAACTTACCTATTTGAAGCAATATGAGCTGTATCTTTGAGAAATTTATTTTGCTGGTAAAATGTGCTATTATGATTAATTTGTATGTAATTTAAATCCTTATGACCAATTAGCCCAAAATAAATTTTAAAAAGTTTCAGAAAAAATATTTTTATACAACCGAATATACAGCTTATATAAGAAATCATTATTGTACAGGACGACAATAATTCAATTTTGCTTCATTTAAAGCTAATAAAAAATTTTCTATCGCAAATATAAACAGCAGAAGTTTATAAATGATTTATTTTTCTGCCATTAAATTAGTTAATTACAATTTGCAATAAATTTTTCCTATGTCAAACATGCAGCTCATATTGCTTTGAGTAATTTTTTTTTTTTGCCTTGCTTGATGTGCGTCAAGACAAACTTAGAAACTAGGAAATATTCTGATGAAGAAAAAGAAACCTTTCCTATTTGAGTGATTTGTTTTTTGCCTTGCTTGATGTGCATCACAACAAACTTAGAAACTAGGAAATATTTTGATGAAAAAAAAAAAAAACTTACATATTTGAGTGATTTGTCTCTGCCTGGCTTGTTGTGCTTCAAGAAAAACTTAGAAACTATGAGATAATTTGATGAAGAAAAAGAAAACTTATCTATTTGAGTGAATTGTTTTTAGTCTGACTTGATGTCAAGTTGTAAAGTTTAAGGAGGCTCCAAGCACTGGATAATGAAGAGTTTTCACTCCATGACTTTGGCAGAAAAGGTTTTTTTTTATTTTGCATTCAATGTTATATTTGTTTATACTAGAAAATGCCTTTTTGGTTAAATTTAATTTACTCTTTTTATTCATTTATTAATAATGTCTGTTTATGTTTTTTTAATTATAAGTATTAGTCCCTTTTTTTGCCATACTTGTCCAATGATCAATGCATTTTGTACATTTCTTATTTCTTTGTCAGAATTTGTAATGTGTATATCTTAGATAGATTGTCCTATTTTGTGCTTTTGATTTTTCAAGAGTATCGAATGTACTTTTTCGTTAGAAAAAATTTGTTTTTAAAAATAAATGCTCTTTTTCGACTAACTCTGTGTTATTTTATCTCTTTTGAAAAAAAGCAGGGTTAACAAAAATTCTGAAAAACGGAAAATTTAGCTGTCTTTATTATGTGCAGAAAAAAGCTCTTGTCTGTTTGTCCAAATTCCCTTTCTGAGTGAGCCACAGTTCTGCAGGAGGTGAACGAAAAGAAACATACATGTAATCAGCAAATAAATGCCTATAGAAAAACTGTAAAGGATTCTGTGGTTTTTAAGGTCCCTTGTTAATACTGTATTATGTATATATAGTTAATGTAAACCTGGCGGATTTTGTGTGTTGAATGCGTACGACCAGCTTGGCTTAGGGAAACTTTCTGTTCTTCGTCATATCGTTTTCGTTGTCTGCTGACCACAGAAGGTTGTAATCTTTTGATTACGGGTCAGCACATCCCTGGACAAACTGTTTGTGGTCTTATTAGTACCGTAATTATGTTATTCCGGTTATTAATGGATTTAGATCAACGAGCGTGATCTATTACGATTAAGGTACGGTTGCTACTCCTTCAAATCTTCATAATTCAAGAATTTGATGAAATATATGGAGATAGCGAAAAGCATTGAAGGTCAAATGTCCATTATTCAATACAAAACTGGAGCAGAGCAAAAACGGGCAACCACGCTTATAAAAGCTTACCCTATTCGATGTACATGTACATATCAAATAAAAATAATAAAAAATCATTACCCATAGTTACATATTATATTTAAAATTACATATGTCCGTTTATTTAATGAAATAAATAGAGCTAACTAACAGTAGTCATTCTCAAAATTTGAATGATAAAATATATGGAGATGACGTACAATATTCAAGCTCAAAAGTACATCAACAATACAAAATAGGAGAAGAGCACACAAGAAACTTCAAAACGTTATAGGTTGGATCTGGTGGTATGGTAGAGTGAGCATTCCCTGCTGACCGGTTACACCTGCCGTGTGCTCCTTGCAATGATCGGGATATAACGAAAAAGTCAATGTGTAAATTCAGTGTTTAAATAATGGACTGACAATTATAGTATGTTAAACGCCAGTCAGTATTTGACTCAATGTTAAATTGTATTTGATGACATGGCCATTATACCAACCATAGAACTTACCAAATGATGACTTTAAACGAAACTTTTTTTTTTCATCGCTTGTTTTTCAATAATTTACCTTTATTTTCATGAATGAGCTTACCTTTTTGGAATTTGTTCATACGTAGAACATGCAATTGCGTATTGTATCTATTACGAGATAGATATATAACCCCCTATGCATTAGATAAAATTATATTGTTTCAGAAGTAATTATAGAAAAAAGATTAAAAAATCAGAGTCATCATGGTAATCATAATGCTAGGGTGTTAGATTAAACATCATTCCATTTAAAATGATTGACGAAAATTATATACCATGAATAATTATTTTAAACTTTATTCTCCTTATTTGGGTCTTTACTTGATTATGACAGCGTTTACATTCAAAATTGTCAGTTAAGTATATTCTTACCTGTACCAGGTTTAAGACCACAGAAATAAAAAATGTTTCTTCTCATACTCAAGGAAATATTGTCATTAATTATTACAATTCAATGAAAGAATAGTTATCTGAAAGGAAGTAATATATTTATACATTACTTTTTATTTTGTTGTTGTAAGATTACAAAACAAAACGGAAAAAAATGCAGAATTTTTTATTGTATTTTTCTACAGTATTTCAATAAGATATGTATTTAGAATAACAGAATGTAAGTATATTTACTTGGACGTTCCCACCACGAGAGATGAAAGGACGTAATTATCAGTCAGAAAATTATCTTAATACAAATGCATAATGAAGCATAACAAGTGGGCATGAATTAATAATAAGTGATGACATGCAACAATGTTTGATACAGTACAAGACGTGTAGACATGCGGAGCAGATTTATTTTAATTTAAGAAACAAGGTTGCTTACATTTTTACGATGATAAGGGATCAACATTAATAAGTTGTCTGGATATTTAAACTGTTCAACTGTAGCGGAAGAATATATTTCCTCCACTACAAAATGCTTGACCTAACAAAAAGTAGTTCACACCTAGAAGACCCGATTATCCATGAAATCACCCAGAAAATGTAGACAAAGACCCCCTGCTAGGAGCGATCAGTTTCAACCCAGCAATAGGGAGATTAAAGATAGAAGACTGTACAAAATCGCACCCAGTTTACCCCGCCAATACATTACCGTGATGCTACTTCACTCGGGTCTCGGAAAATCTGGTTATTATTATCAGCCTGTTATATCTACCTATCTACCTGTAATCTACCTGTACTCGGGTTCCCTCGGGGGCTACCTTTCTTTCTGCAGGTTATGGCACTGAATGACCGAGGGCGTCGTGTTGGGTAAGCTGATTACAAAGCACCTTGAACCGTTTGAAGGATAACATAATAATATTTCCTTCATAGAATTGATCTAAATTTTTTGTACCTTTTTTTTTTTAAGAGAACTCATGATATATTGAAGAGGTAATTTAATTGCAATGACATGTATATCGATATTACAAGCAATTCAAAGTAATTGAAATATTGAATTTTTTTTTTAAATTTCAATTCAAATTTTTTTGTCCCTTTGAATACAGCTATTTAAGTTTATTTTTTTCGGTATGAATGAGAGTATTTATTTGGTTTATTGATTAAGCGTACATATTAATTATATCTAATCTCAAGCTGAAGGACAGCTTATAAACATGTATTTGTTTTTCTCGTGTTAAGATATATTACAGGAGTTATTATCTACTTATTATCTTATCTACTACTTAGCTCAGTGCTAAAAGTGTAATATAAGCTAAAGTGTAATAAAAATAAACCAATCCAGGTAAATTTTATGAGGAAAATCAAAATGGTGAAAAATCAGAACAGTCAATCACATTTAATCACACAAAGGCTAATTTTACGATTTTGCATTCCCTCAAAATTCACCTGGTTGGTATATTGTTTTAATGTTTATATTACACTATCTGCACTACGCTTACATATTCTGAAATTTTTTTCATCTGTAAACCGTTATTGAGTTGATTTGTCCATGCTTCTTTTTTTTATTAAGTTTTTACTAAAAAAATAAACAAAGTATTTACAAAGATATTGAATCCCGTTATGCAATTTTTCACACATTTCAAACTATCGTTGATGTCCTTGGCATACCATACTTACTAGACAGCGTTTCCGTATATTTACTTTGTGAAATAAAATTGTAAAATTAGATTTTAAACATGCAGTCTTATATTTCATTAGTCCCGCCCCCTGACGTCAAACACAAAGACAGCCGCACTAGATTTACATGTATATGAGGCCTTCTAAGTTTCTGTCCAATCTCTTGGCGAAATTTTCGTTCCGGTAGAATGATCAAGAAAATCAACACATCAAACTTTCAGAGTTATCACAGAGAAAACAAAAGGATATGGAAATATATCTAAGTCAATGCAATGGTAACGTCGTGAGTGAAAGATTGCAAGAATTGGTAGGAATTAGATCAGACTTGGACCTTTGACACGGATACTGGTTTTTTCTACTTCTCTTTGCTGATATAAGATCACGAAACTATTGATAAGATATTTTTTAAATCTATGACATTCATGACAAAGGGGTGCAAGCTATATTATATACAATTATGATTTTTTATGAGGTCAATCAGTATTTATTTAGGGAATTAATAATTACTTTTTTAAAGATACTTATTGGATATTTGCCGAATACAATTCTGAATTCAAAAATATCAGACTGTCTGATATTTTTTGATACAGAATTGTATGAGGCATATATCGTACTTAAAACATTGATGTTGATTTACCCGTGACATTCCGATATTAGAACAAAAGACAAAGGTGTTAATGACCACTGAAGTAATTCTTTCAAGAATGTAAGCTTAAATGAAAAGTACACAGTATTTAAGGATTCGGCTAAACTGTAAAAGATATTTGAAATAATTTTATACATATATAGGGAGAGTGGGGACAAATTTTTTCCCTTAAAATGTACAAGGAGATTAAAGCGGTGCAACGAAATATCATACAGATAATCTAGTGAACGATAAATTTGAAATGGAATGGAAAATGCGCATATGAAGAATAACCACAGAAATTACGCAGATGCTGAAGGTACATTAGTTCATTTTTTTTATGTTTAGTGTGTAAATGTACCTTTGTTTTTGATGCTCCATTACAGAAAAACAAACAATCAATAATACAGGGGTTTTGGTGGAAGCATTGAAATACTTTAATTTTTTTTTCCAAAATTTGTTGCGAATCTGTCAAATTAAGTATCAATTATCATATACAAGGCCTAGGTACCTTGAGTTTGCAAAAGGCATTTTTTTTCTATGAGAAAATGAAATTAAAGTGTTTGAATATTGTTCTTTAAAGTGTCTAAAGTTTGTGTTTTATTTTGAATTTATTTTTGGGGCTTTGGAAGTTTTTGTGCTTCTCTGGTGACCCCTAGTGCGTCTACTCATTTTCAAAAGCCAGAGAAATGGGTTGAAACATTTCTTCAAGTTTAATAAGTTAATTAGAAATATACTGCTTTGGGTTTTTTTTCTGCATATTTGGTCTGCCGCATGTTCTTCTTCCTGTTCCAGTATATTCGGTGTAATTGAAAGTTGTTTTTTTTTATTTTGCAATCTGTAACATCATTGTTTCAAAATCACAATTGTTGTTTGTTAACGTATCACACTTTTTATTTTCTTTTATTCAGTAGCAGTCCAATTTTGAAGGATATCAGTACTGAGACAGTCTGATGTTACGATTAATATCAGACTGCTCACTAATATCGAATTGCCACAGGTAAAATTTTAGACTGCAAGAACAAAGGAATGACGTCACAGCAATGTTTTAAAGTGTCAAAAATGAAACGGTGTGTGCAAAAAAAAAATCATAACCCACGTTAATGAAAGAGCAACAGTAGCAGTTTCTGAGCGTGATTTTTTTTTCCTTATGACGTTTCACGTCCTCGGCGTTCAACGATTAAGACGTCAAAACAAAACGCATGTTTTAACCTTTTGACCCTCTTTCCGTGTTATGCTGTTTCGAATGCCATAGATTTCCATTCATTTTCAATGCAAAAAACATATGTTACATGTATGTAAATACTAGTATATGGACTTTAAAGAAAGAATGTCGACCGAAGACGAAGTTCGAGGTCGCTATGCTTTCTCTAAGGTCTATATAGCAGGGATTTTATCGATTCAAAAGGCTATCAGGGGTAAGTTAATGATTTTTTTCTTCTTTTTTGTAAAAGTTGATTAGAATTGCCGTCAAGTCCACCTTTGTAATGTTCCAGATTTTTCTTATCTGGCGTTGTAATGTAATTGGCATTATGACGTCATAGTTTCCATTATCAGCTGGAGTATCAAATTTAAAAAAAAGTTCATGAAAACTTTTGTGACATCAAAACTATTGTTGATTCACAGAAAAGGGCTCAAAATGATTAAAGATGCTTGATTTTATCGACTATAGTCTTAATTTTTCTGCAGTTAATTACTGTAATAATATATTATATTCTGGTTACATAGACAAAAGAAACAAGTCGATTGATATGTATAAAAATATATATTTCAACGATCTCATAAATAAATAAATATCAACGATATGACACATAAAATATACTTATAACAAGGCAGAAATTTAAAGGATACCTTTCTATCTCATAAACATAAAATATACTTATAACAAGGCAGAAATTTAAAGGATACCTTTCTTTCTCATAAACATACTTTTAAAACATACCATCTGAATCGACATTCATCAAATCCTCTCATGTTAAAAAAAAAATCTAAGTCTATTACGCCAATTCATTTAACATAAATTTGAACTCCTACAAACATACATAATTATTCATAAGCCTATCACACCTAAAAACATGCAATCAACAAAACCATTCAGACTAATAAATTACTTGCATAGCAATGGTACAGTGAAACAAATATGACGAAAAATATAAAACATTTTTGAAATTAACACAACATAACAATTTTACTACCTCCAAAGCATGAAATATTTATAAAATATTTACACGAAGAAATTGCATTTAATTGAATTGGGTTGTTCAGAGAGCGTGGTATTTCACAAACAAATTCTATGAAACGAAATAACCTTTTTCGGCGGGGGAAGGGGTTAAATTTTACTTTTAGCCTCATCCCTTATGAGGGATTGAGGTTTGTTTGTGCTGATGAAAACAGGTGGTTCAGTATCTTAGATTTTTGGGGAAAAAACATAACAGAAGTTTAATTTATTTTCAAATGAAATGTGTATGAAAAAGAGCAGCTATTAGTTTAAGTGAAATATTGCATATGAGACATTTTGCAGAGAATTAATCGTTCTGATACGTATAATAGTTATGCATTTAATTGAAAATCTCACTTAATTAATATTAATCAATATTTTCAAAAGCTTTAAGGGATGTGATTAAAACTATTGATAACATATGTGCCTAATGGACTTAAAAATATGCTATTTCGACTTAGTAATTATCTATCGAATTTCATTTAATATAAGCATAAAGTTTACACTTTATATGGAATACCCTCCTTTAAATTTAAATAACGTTTAGGTTCTTTTCAGAATCATCCTCACAATTCAATAGACTTATATCTCTGAACACATTAGAGCACCATAAGATAAGATGTAACATAGATAATGAGTCACATCAGTGTATATGTAGATACGCCCCCTGGTGAGGGCACTTGTCTTCTGATATAATACCAGGACAATGACGAAACCTAAAGGGATCAAGCAGCACGAACCCACGGACACTACAGTCAAAAGCAAAAAGTAACAGCAGGAGTCCGATCCGTTCAAAACTAAGAAATCCGATTGCACTTACTCACTTTCATACAAATAAGGACACATTTCGTTCAGATTACGTCACAGGGTCAGAAGCATGAAAGACAGTTTTGATTGGATAATCATTATCACAGATGCACCAAACATCGCACAAACAATCAAAGGATTTATATCAACGATGCGGTCTGGAGACCTTTTTCTGTCCACAGACACCTGTTCGTTCTGCTATATTCCTTTTAATCTTTTCTTTGATCTACTTTCCTTGCAAAGTGGCACATTTTTGCGGTAGCACTGACTGAACTTCGGAATAGATCACAAAAAAATTTACCTTATGTTTCTCAAATTGTTGATGATGTCTTTATGTCGCAAAATCTATTAAAAAAACAGAAATCATAAGTCACCAACAATGAATATTAGATGAAATTTGATGTTTTTTCCTAACTTAACGTTCCTAATTTGAAACTTGGAAATTATAGACTTAAACATTTTTTTTTATTTGCTGTACATTAGCATATACGTTACATATGGAAATGATATAGGTGGCTTTTTCAATTATTTTGATAGATTGTAACAATATATGTGTCTCAAATTGTCTTTATACTCACACAGCCGACGATTGCCTTTATGTATTTTGCCTTCACAAAATCATCATTGTCCATTCTATTTATCTTGTGTAAAAAGTCTGGAAAAAAACATTGATAACTATTTTACAATTCATATAAAATTACATGTTTTAGAGCAATGCAATTTGAACAGTAATCAGAAAAATAAAATCATGTTAAAAGGAGAAACGTGTAGCAAAACTTACAAAGAAAAAAATTGAAACTTTTTCATTATTAGTCTATTAAAAAAATAGTAGTGGACAGAACAATCAAAATGTATTCGAAAAAAAAATTTTTTATGAGCTTACTGTGTATCACACCCCCCTTGATTTTGTTGCATTTTAAAAGTGAAATATAAAATATTAATTTTCTTATGACTAATTGAAATAGTCATCAACAATATGTTACTGGATTTAGTAAAATTATGGCTTTTATTTAATCAAACAGTGAATTCATTCCACCGGAATTTTAAATGGAAGTGCCTATGTCATAATCAAATATCTTATTTAACTTTGTAAAATTCTGAGTATTTGGGGTTTTTTTTATATTTTTTTTTTCGAAATAAATATCAAAACAAACGGTCGGAATAATAAAGTATGTATCTTTAGAATATTTCAACTAAAGCAGAATTATAAGTTATTTATCCACAAATTTTTGTTTATGTATGATTTACATTTTAACACTTATATATATTTTTGTCAAGTAGAATGTTTTTGCTAAAAATATAATCCTGTTTTGGCAGGTGATACGAGGCTTTCAATGAGCAAAATTGTAATGTAAATCATGATATTAACTGTAAAATATAATGTACAATTCAAGTTACCACCCGTAAATAATTATATTCATCAAACTACAATCAACTTTTAAAAAATCATTTCTATCAAAGAGACATATGATCATGTTCTCATAAGATCGTCAACTGCAAGGGGTTTAAGTACGAAACTTAAAGGAAAATTAAAAAAAAAATAATTAATTAACATGAACTTGTTAATTATTAAAATGCACTTACCCTTGTTGCATATGTGATGGTGAGGCCTCCCTATTACAGAAGTAGCGACCAATAGCACCATAAATAAACCTACTGTATACATTCTCTATTTACCGCACACAGCTCTCGGTAAAACTGACAATATCTTTGATCAACTTGATTTAATACTTAGATAGTAACTATTTTTCGTTTTATAGGCATCTTTCACCACTCCTTTTGTGATCCCAGAGTAGGTTTGTGATGAAAAGGCTTACTTTTGTAGGCGTACTGTTGGATACTACTTTTACCATTCTCTTTCAGTAGCTGGTCAGTTAGAGGCGGGGGAAACTGACTGCGCGCGCAGTCATTCGTGTCAGCTTAGTCCAGATTTGAATCATAAAAGAATTGATGACGATTACCCTTCCGAAGTTGTTTTGTTGTACAAGGAATTTTTAACTTGGGATCTTCATGTGTACGTACTTCTATCTATATTTAGATGCTATCATTTATTTTTAATAAACCTATGCCGTGTGTTTTCTAAATGAATTAACCTATGATAGATGTTTGAGGATCTTTTGAAAAATTATTCATTTCATTAATTTTTTATTGTATTATCGTATTTTTTTTCCAAAGATTTTTGAAAAAAAATGTTTTATTCATGTAGTTTTGTTTTTCATGCGCAAACTTAATTTTAAAATAAAGCATGACACAATGAATATCTTGGTTAACATTTCCTAAACTTGGTTTAAATTTTACCAGAAATCGTCTTATCAATGTCGTTGCATCATTCCTAGTTTTGGTTTGATAAACAAAATGTTGTGCATGAATTTTAGTGGTTGATTCTATAGATATATGTGGACAAAATGATCTGCAAATGAGACAGTGCGACTGAAATGCTAAAAATACTTTTATCAGATTTGTTTTAAAATGATTTTTAGATAAGTAGTGGTATTCGTTCCAAAAGTCACTGATTATTTTGACCTTGTTTTGCTAACGATGTGAATTTAATATATATACTCCGTTTTTTAAATACAATATCGGATCCTTGTCCACATCAGGCAATGAAGTATTAATTATTTAATTATTATTCAAAAGTATTATTTGATATTACATGTATTTTTAACAGAGGTCCATTTTTATTGATTTTTATCGTTTAAATGAACCTCTGATAATGATAACTGGTTGTCTGCCGATTTTAGTCGAATTATTTTTTTTTTCTTTCTGCAAACATTGGAGCTGTTATATGTCGTGAAGAATCTTTTTTTTTTTCATTTCATGCATCACAAATTATATACACCTCTCTCTCTTCCACTCTCATATCTGTTGGAAAAGTACAAATACACACACATATTATTTTACAAAATAAAATACACATATGGACATTCAAAATATAGAAACAACTGATTATCAGAAACATATTCAAAAGTAATATTCTTAGATACCTCAAAAAGTCATCTGAAGTACTCAACATATTTGTACCGCTGTGAGTAGGTTTTGACCCTAATATTCTGTGTAACAAATTCATATTTACCAGGCAGAGTCATAGCATAGTCATAGCATGCTTAACATAATTGTGTATATTTCTTTCAATGACGTATTGGTTTAAATTATATATAAATTCAATTATGATGATAAAATTGACAACTTATAAGAATGTAATTAAATTGCCTTTAAAATAACATTAATTTTATGAACAAGAGCGTATATTTATAATCTGTTTAGAAGCAATTTTTTTCATTTAGTATTCAATCATATGTCCCGCTCCCCCTTTCCAAAAAATAAATAATTTATAATGATAAAATTCTCTGCATATTTATCAAACTAATACAAACAATTTCTATTATTAGCACTTGATATAAAGTTTTTGTCCTATCTTCTGTTTTCATTCACATATGTAAAAAAAAAAACTATCAATGAGTTCTACGCGACATTTAATAACCATACTCAGCTGAAATCGTTACAGTGTTACGTCATCACAGAAATTCACCTATTATTTAAGTGGCGCTAACCTCAACAAAATACTTCAATAACTGCCTTCCGCATATAAGTGTGCTTCTCATCTTACTGTTGGGTTCTTTTTGTCCTCAATGCAAAACCCTAAAAGCTGATAAAACTTACCGGTAATGATGTGTACTATACACCTGTATTTGAGAATTTTTTTTCCCTTTGTTTGGTGAACTATTTAATTTCAATTTTATCTTTATGCTTTCAGAATTATTCAGATGTAATTTAAATTTTTTTTATGAATATCAATGAGTGACTGATCATGTAAAAATGTAAATTTCAATATCTTAAATTTAAATAAAACATCAAACACATTTTGGTATTTACTTTGAATTCCTTTTGTATTTTTAAAGTTAAATGTAGGTGGCAACATTTTATAAATAAACCACAATGAATTTGTATGTCTTCCCCTAAAGAGTGCACACAACTACAGATAACCGCATTTTGAAGTGAATCAGTTTTGATTTGTATAGTATGAAAAAAAACCTATAACATGCCAACCATTTGACTGTACATTCTTTTAAAATATCAAACAAAGAAATCTTAAATTAATCTTTAAAAAATTTCTCTTTATAAAATGTATTTTTTTTAAATAAAGAAGGCATAAAATTAGGCTTCGTAGATTTGAAATTTATGATTATTTAGTTAAATGTTACGAATTTCATTTTCACATTAAAATGTGTGACATTTCTGATCACAAAGCTTTCTAATTATGAAAGTAAAATATGCTTTCATTTATGCATGTAAGCTTAATTTGACAGATGATTATGATCTTTTCGCTAACCAAAAAAAAAAAAAAAAGAAAGAAATTAAACAAACCAGTTATAAAAAATAAAGAGTGTTTCATATGATAAAGAAATGCTTGAATTTGAATTCTTTGTCTCAATTTATTTAAACTTGATTTAAAAAAAAATGCTTATTTTCATGGACGTATTATACAAACATATAATTGTCTTGATTGATATATTTTTTATCTATTCTTTTAAATGATGAAACTAATGATTTTTTTTTTTAAATTCGAATGTGAAAAAATTCCAAATTGTTCTTAATTTAATCTTTCTGTAACCGTCCTTATAAATCTTTACAATTTTTGTTGCTAAATCTTCGATTGAAAAACAAAAATGAAAATATGTATGATTGAAATTGTTTTCATTACACTCACAAAAAATTACCTTAAGTTGCTATTTTTAGAATGAAATAGGGTTTTTTAAGAACTCTATATCCCTAAAATTTCTCCTAATGCATTTTTTAATCTTGTGAAAAATACATCAAAAATGAATGACTTATCTTAATTAAAAACAAATTGTTTATGCAAAATAAAGTTTAGTGTTTGATGTATTTCTACATGGAAATAAAATTTGTTAAATACTTAAAAGAAAGCTCAAAAGCTGAAGGGTTATTTTTTCAAAAACAAATCTGTCATCGATCTACAGAAAAAGATACAACATTGCATTTTCAATCGTTTATTGTTTTAAAAAATTGCAAATCATTCATTAAACGATTTTTTATTATTTGAGCAATCAAAAATTGATATACACTTTATAAAGCTTGACAAAAAATATATATATATATATATATATATATATATATATATATATATATATATATATATATATAATATATATATATATATATATATATATATATATAAACTTTTTTCAAACATTTCCACTTTTCTACTAAAATATAGACTAGAAACATATTCAAAATGCAGAAAAAATGAGTGAGCAAAAATATTTACAATAAAGATTATTAACAGATATGCAGTACGACAATTTCTTTGGTCACATGATTACTTTTCATTTACGTGCTTTTCCATCTCCTTTTTTTTTAAAATACTTTAAAGGAAAAGGCAGTAAAAACACATATAAAATATAACAAAAAAAAAACAGTACCTAGCATACACGCAAATATATAAATATTATTTATATTTGATAAAGCTAGCTAAAAGTACATGTAGCCCTTTCCTAACAAATATTATTCTGTAAAATTTGAACTTATTACGACAGATTTTAAGTATCTATGATGTCAGCATAACAAACCAATTGAACAGAAAATAAAATTCAATTCAAGGACATTTGCATTCTGACGTCCAAATCACAAGTCTGATGTAAAGTAAGGTCATACGAAAATCTTAAGTACAACTTACCTAATCAATATTTCATAGTGTATTTCATGCAATAGATGGAGATAACAAACAGTATTCATGCTCAAAAGTCAAGAATGAATAGGTACCGAATGACAAACTGTCTAACAGCAGAGATATACATGTTTGATGGTTAAAATGAAATATAATTTCATTTTTGGGCAACAACTTTGAAAGATATATATTACTGAAAGCTGCTTTGAGAAGTACAATTTAACGTCTCTTTTGTTTATTTTCCTTTCGGTTACATTTAAATATATTCTGTTCTAAAAACCTAAGAGAGGGTTGGGGATCTTGTAAATTTACCAGAAATTTTGCACTTATTATTTTCTTAAGAATTTTTGTGAAAACCAATTTTAACGTAGATTTTTACTTAAGAGAAAACAAAACATGTAATAAGATTTTTAAAAACATTTCTTCACCTATGAAAATGATTATGTTTTAAATCTCCTTTGACATTCAATTTTCAAAAATATGAAAATGATTATATTAATAAAACTTAATATTTTCCATCGATCTTACATAAAACATTGAAATGAAAATGTTATTACAACTTCAGATTCTCCATAGATCTAACAAAAACCATGAAATGATAATGTTAATAAATCTTCGTGGTATCTTTCATTGAGTACTGGCAGTGCGTCTTGGAACACGGAATACCACTCTAGCCATCCGTAAAATCTATCGTCAATAGAATTAAAACGTGTACATTTTCTATTAAATAATCAATAATTGTTTTGTTTGTCTTTGTAAAGAATTTACATTCTCATATTCACACGTATAATAATATACAATAATATGTGCTAGCGTTTTAAACAAAAATACTAATTAAAATGTTATCAAATCTTACGACTTTATTTAGGATATTAAAGAACGTGGTCTGATATACTTACGCATCCAGCCATTAATTTTAGGTCACCAGGTCTCAGTACATCGCCACGTTCTTTGATTTTATTTAATTTTGCTGAGGAAATAAATCAAAACATTTATTTAAGAAATGCAAAATTTGCCTGAAATATAAGAAGATAATGAATAGTATTCAATGTCAAATTTTAGACCTTAAATTTAGAGCAGAGCATTAACAGAGCACCCAAAACATTAGAAGTGAGACCGGTTCCTTAACCTTAACCTTAACCAGCCATGTGCCCAAAACATTGTTTAAAATTGAATATTTAAACGAATATCAATACAGAGACAATTGTGGATATAAACCAAATACTACCTATACTTATTTTGATTCTCTTCCCTATTTTTAGCTCAAACCTGGCCGAATGCTAATGTTAATAAATCTTTTCTGATACATTTTGTCCTGGCAGTGTGTCTGTAAACTTTTCAAAATTTCAACTTCTTCTCAAGAACCAATGGACCAAATTAAATTAAACATGGTACAAAGCATTCTTGGGTGAAGAGGAGTTTAAATTGTTAAAATGAAGGACCAAGTTCTTTTACAAAGGGAGATAATCAAGAAAAGACAAAAATAAGATGGGGTAATTAAAAAATCTTCTTCTCAAGAACCACCGGGCCAGGAAAGCTGAAACTTATGTGGTAGCATTCTTCGGTAGTGTAGATATTAAATTGTTAAAATCAAGAACCCCGGGGGTAGGGCGGGGCCACAATAGGAAATCCAAATTTACATAGAAATATATAGAACAAATCTTTAAAAATCTTCTTCTCAAGAACCACCGATCCAGGAAAGCTGAAACTTATGTGGAAGCATCCTTGTGTAGTATAAATATTAATTTGTTAAAATCATGACCCCCGGAGGTAGGGCGAGGCCACAATAGGGAGTCCAAGTTTTACATAAAAATACATAGAACAAATCTTTGAAAATCTTCTTCTCAAGAACCACTGGGTCAGGAAATCTGAAACTTACGTGGAAGCATCCTTGGGGAGTGTAGATTCTAAAGTATTAAAATTCTGTAAGGGGAGGGGATAGGGGGCACGATAGGGGCTCTTGTTTTTAAATTCGTTATTGTATTTTTATCTGCATGTTTGTGTTTAGTTTTTCCCTTTTTACGACTATACATTATAATATTTTATAGAATTGTTGTATTTCAAAACGTGTTTGCTTTTAATTTATCTTATCGTTTGAATTGGGTATATTTTCTGCTTCTTGTATTATAAGCAAAAATAAGAAAAAAATAATTAAAACAATTTATTTACTGGTAATATTTGCATTAAAAATTATACTTGATATTGGGAGAAGAAAGAAGTGAATATAGATAATCATAGGTATATACATTTCAAAATAATATTTCTTACCTTTGTCACAGTTTGCTTCGACACAAGGTGAGCACAACAACAAAATAAAACAAAAGACTAGGTTTGTAAGATGCATGATGGAAAAAAGCCCACAGAACTTATTAAGAAAAAGAAAGATATACAAAAAAGCATGCATTCCAAAATCATAAGTCCAGTATTTATATAGGTATATTTATCCATCCCATGGACTAAATTTAGCATGAATTCTGGTAACTATTTTCTCTTAAGACAATGTCGAAAATCACCCACTTGAGTTAAGAAATGATATCATGCATTCTAATGAGTTTTCATTGCTGTTTACATGACGACAGTTGTAACTTACTATTTCCTACTCTTTATACATACTTATGAATATCAATACAGAAGCTAGGCGTTTAATTGTCAAAATATTTATCCGGAGATCTGCGGTTTTTAAGGCCAGCAAAACTGAATGAGTTTGTTGAAATTAGAGTAGCTTCGAAGAAAACATTCCTGTGACTTGTTTGTGCTTTGAGCTATTTGGTTAGGAATTATAAATTTTATTCATTCTGTATCCGAATTTTTCATGCTCAGCTGGAAAATTATTTTTTGAAAGAGAAATGATGATTAATGTTCTTTGCTATTTAATGACTTGAATTAAGGATATGTTCCATCTTTTGCTACTTTTTATATCGGACACGTTTCAAAATTTAATAATATATGTATGAAATGAATTGACAATTATCATTTGACACAGTTATTTAATTTTTCAAACACAGTTTTTTTCACATCAACTAAAAAGCATTTCGTCATAGTTTTACTCTTCAAATGAAGGATATGGCGATAACGAACAGTATTTAATTTACAACTATACAAATTACGAGCAAAATATCAGAGTGAAATATATCCCAAATATTCTGTATGCACTAAATGCATAATTGTGTTTTTATGAAATAGTATTGACTCCTTTTTTAAAAAGATAATTTCTTTTCAAAATAGATCTGAAACCTCTTCAATTTTTAAAACTAAAAAAAATTGGTAATTTGTTTTTTTTTATATAATGAAATATAAATAATAAAGCAAGCTTCTAGAAAAATCTGTAAACTTTCATTAATGGACAATAGAAAGAAATAAAAAAAAATTGTAGTTCCTTGAATTGTAATGTTGCCATACTATTTGTTTACATGTGGTAAGACCGAATAACTGTTTGAAGTGAAAGGTATATTTATTAAATCTAGAATTTTCCATAAATTTCAGGGACTGGGAATGAGAGGATTGCATGGATACAAATGATTTAATTGGTTGTCATGGAAGTGTGTGTGAGTTCCCATTCCAAACAGAATGAAACGTATGGAGATAACAAACAGAATTCAAAATCGAAGGTCCATAAATTAATACAAATAGGAGCAGATCAAACACGGACCTCAGAAACATCAGAGGTGGGATCAGGTGCCATGGAGGAGTGAGCATCCCCTGCCGAAAGGTCACACCAGCCGGCAATTCAGTGTGTAGAAATAACGGCCTAACAATCAGTATGAAAAACGTCAGTCAGCATTTGACTCACTGATAAATTGTATTTGCTGACATGGTCATTGTATCGACCATAGAACTTACGAAATGATCACTTTAAACGAGACTGTTGATATTCTTGTTTCATCAACTTGTTTGTCAATAATTTCCTCATTTAAGACATTGTTTATATTGAGCATGCTCTTGCGTATCGAATCAACTGCGATACTTAAACAGGTGATAAAGGTATATTGCTACATAAATACGGGAAGTTGACGATAGAAAGTCATCACGTTTATCATAGAGCTTGGTTGTTAGATTACCATTAATTTCTTTTTCAAGTAAAATACCCAAATATTAATGAGATGTGTCAGATTCTGTGGTATCTTTGATCTTAAGCTCACTGGGATATATCATATAAACATAGGAATTGAAAGTACAACTGCAAATCGAAAATACGTCATCGATATATCGAAGTGTCGAGTTGAAGGCCAATATTCAATATTAAAATATATAGATTGTGTAGACAAGATGATATGGTCATTACGCACATGCATTCACATGTGGATGCGTGCAATGCTAAAATTTGAATGAACTTGGTACACTTCTGGGTAAACGTTGTTAAAGTCTCAAATGCATAGGGTTTGTCTTATTTAATGAAGCTTACATGGAATATGGCACCAAAAGGGATATGGGGAGCGTTGTGTTCGTTTTAGCACTAGTTTCTTTTTCATAAACCAAATATAGAGGCTAGAATACATACAAAGTTAAATCATTTTATCATATCGAAAAATGTTTTCTGTTTTCAGGGGATTTAGCAAATAAAAATTGTGTTCGTTTTGGGTATACTATAGCGTTAAATCATTTTATCAGACATTAAAACAATTTAGAAGCATAAAAGTAATAATGTGACTAAATTTTCATTCAAAATAGAATGCATTAATACCAATAAAAATACTTTCGCTGTAAATTCGTAGAATTATTGTTGTTTTCGTTTTGCTTGAATTCAAGCTATTTTATGACGAAATGTCTTGACGTCATAGTTACATTTAAAGTAACATAACATCACAGTCTCTAGATTCCTTGAGCGTTACTCACACTTTGTGCCACAAGGTGGAAATGAAACGTTTTCGAGATAGATGGCGATGACGTTAAAACTAAATTGTCAAAAGAATGAATTTATTAACCTATTTGATATTGTTAAAGGGGGTCGATTACTTGCAAATTTTCGCGCATCAAAAATTAAGAGAATGAATTTGTTAAACTTTTTGATATTGTTTAAAATGACAATTATCTTATTTAAATTTAAAGCAAAAGACTTCAAATTTTTAGATATATCATTTGCATCCTATTTTGTAGACCATTTGTTTTTTTGACATTAACGTGTTTCTTATACGTTTTATTTGAGAAACTTAGTATTTGTATTATTTGCTTTAAAGTGTGCATTTTCCTATAATCCTATAGTAAATATACCTGTTTTTTTAGATGGTCCCTTAAAAATACCTGAGGAAATCAAAAAACAATGTTTATATTAGAATGATTTAAAGATTGACGCTAATTATTATTCTTGGCTAACGTATTTGAGTATAATAATGTTAAAAAGAAATTATTTGTGTTTCTTTTTGGACATGAACCAATCAGGGACTAGAATATAAACAAAATTAAATTATTCATAAATATTTATAATGAAGTGATCCAGAGAATTAGATCTGATTATTTTTTTTTTCAGGTAAAAAGTCCTCAGATGGGAAAAATAGTCTGTTAGAGAAATAGCCACTTAAGTTGTGTTAACTTTATATGGTGAAAGAAGAGGTATAATTTTAATGTTGTAAGAACAATATCCAAAATGTGGCCAAATGATGGGTTACATTTGCTAACAAGACAAAGCAACCATGATATTTGCGAAATATCGATTTCTTACGAAGTCGTTGAAATCCATGTAAACTAAAAGTTGATCATACCCAGAGCACCTAATAATCTGGACGACAGAAAACTCATATAAAGAGGATAAAGGGGTATAGCTACAAAAATAAAACAAAACTGAAGTTAAAAAAGCTCTAGTCATCTGATTTATCATTTTATATTGTTGTTAGTTGGCTCTTCTCACCTGTAATCAATTAAACCATATAATATGAAACAGAATTGACAGACAATTAGCTGGTTTTGTTTTTATTTCAGGTGGACTGAGGTTTATTTCGAATCGAATAGAAATGACTATTGATCATACGTCGTCAGTATATCTCAACGTCAAGTTGAAGGCCGCAGTAAGTATTCTGTTAACTCATTCAGACGTTTGTGTGTAATTCTTCTTCCTAGGAATATAGAACAGATCGTCTAATTTAATTTTTAATCACCATTGATCATAATTTTTTAAAATTTCCTGTTAAATTCTTGTTAAGGGGTCTAGGTTATATCCAGTTCAAATATTTGTTTTTTAGACCGATCATTGTTAACCTTTATTCATTAACTAAGATGTTATTCATTTTTACTTACTCACACTTGGTAACAGAAACCTGTTTCTTTGTTACTGTTTTAGATATATTGACAGGCATTCACTACTCAACTGTATTGATGCGTACGTATGACTCTATTCATAAAAATTCCATTCATTGATAAAATTCTACACATTTTTACATGAACAATCCACTTACAAAAAATGTCATCTCTTTGTGTAATCTATAAATGATAGAAATAAATAGTTGAAGGAATATGGATTTATGATTAATAGAAATAAGCCTGATTACCACTATGATAGCTGCAAAATGTAATTGTAGTTGTACTTAAGTATGGAATCGAAGTATTTTTTTTTATTATTTTTAGCATTATCAAAATAAAGTAAGAAACAGTAGCGCCCATTTAACATAAAAGAACAAGCATATAAAATGCCGATAATTTCAATAAATTCATGCATAAAGATGCTCTTATAGATTATAAATAATTGATGTCTTTATACCGATTAATATTTCCTTTCAAATGACGACCAGATCTTTCCAAGACAAACAAAGTAAATATAATATATCCAAAGAAGGAAAAGCGTTATTTTATATCAATAAATTATAAAAGATTGAACAAATCCATCTTTATTTATTCAATATTTAAATTATAGTTTTATTATTATAAAATATATTATACGAGGGTTGTTCGAAAAGTTCGTGGACGATGTCAATCTTCGTTATATTACCCACAACAAATTTAAAATAAGTATAATATAAAATGTAAAAAAAAAAAATTAATGTGTGATGCTTCATTCCATTCGAATTAACAGAAATGAATTTACTTCATTACTACATCAACATGTTTTGTACCCGCAGAGTACCCGTAACGGCAATGTAACGTCAAAATATAGTGTTTAGAATTTTTAAAATATACTATTTCTATACATTTCACAAAGTATAATCCAATGCCGAAACATTAAAATAATCCTGTTTCTGAAGCGTGAAAATCATTTTTTAAGAATTTCTCCCGTTGTATAATGTCCTTTGTTAGGATTTTAATTTCTTTTAGTTCTTAACTCTGCTTTCACAGGGTAAGCACCTCTAATGCGCATATGTCTTTCCTTGATATTCAAAGTTTTTAAAGTTATTGTTAAGATTTTTACAGATAAACGTTTCTTCTTAGATTCTGATACAAAGTTTCTGTCACTCAAATACTGTGTATACTATTTGTACACACATGCACAATTCGCTTGTGACATATTTTTTTGATTCCTTCAACATTTTTTGAGTTTATTCAGGGTTTTCCTTAGT